CCCAAACACTTCCACGAGTATGGCGATGTGTTCTCCAAGAAGCAGTCGGAATGAATGCCCACAAGAAAGCCCTACGATCATCCAATCGAACTTGTTCCAGAGGCATCGTTACCATGCCCGGCAAAGTTATATCCTATGAACCTACAGGAAAGAAATTCGCTCGACACGTGGATAGACCAAGAGTTAGCCAAAGGTTACATCAAGAGATCAAGGAGTCCAACTGCAGCACCCGTCTTCTTCGTCAAAAAGAAAGACGGATCACTGAGGCTCGTACAAGATTACAGAAACCTCAACGCAGTCACAAAAAAGAACAAGTTCTCAATCCCACGCATTTCGGACCTCATCGACAGACTTTCACATGCTAGTATATTTACGAAGCTTGATCTGAGATGGGGGTTCAACAACATAAGGATTAGGGAAGGAGACGAAGAGAAAGCCACCTTCATCACACATTGTGGCCTCTTTGAACCCACAGTAATGTACTTCGGTTTCTGCACATCAGCAAGAACTCAGTACAGATGGACCCTGCTAAAGTCGAAGGTGTACTTGGCTGGCCCACACTGACAAAGGTCAAACAAGTACAGGCCTTTTTAGGATTCGTGAATTTCTACAGGCAATTTATAAAGGACTTTGCGAAACTCGCATGACCTTTAACACTTCTCACCTGTAAGGACATGCACTGGCAATGGAAGGAGGAGCAAGACCAAGCCTTCAGTGCACTCAAAACGGCGTTCACCTCAGCCCCGATCTTACAACTCCCTAATGACACTGCATCATACTGTCTAGAAACAGACTCTTCAGACTATGCAACTGGTGCAGTACTCGAACAACTAGGAGAGGACAAGCTATGGCATCCAGTCGCATACTACTCTAAGTCACTCAACGAACATGAGCGGAACTACGAGATTTACGACAAAGAGATGCTTGCTATTATTCGGGCACTCGAAGAATACTGGCACTATTTAGAAGGACATCCAGAACCCATTGAGATTTGGTCGGACCATCTCAACCTTACATACTTCCGTCAGGCACAGAAATTATCCCAGCGCCAAGCGCGCTGGTCATTATTCCTCACCAGATTTAATTTCATCCTCAGTCACTGACCTGGAAAGACTATGCTACATGCCGATCCTCTGTCCAGGAGGCCAGACTATGAGAGGGGGGTAGACAGCGACAATTCGAATCAAATGCTGTTAAAACCTGAATTTTTTGCTATCAATGCGATTCGACCCACTCACGCATCTGAAGTTGATGATGCTCAACTACTGGAAAGGATCAAGAAGGCACTCACAGATGACATGATGACCAAGGATTATCGTGCGCTTTTGAATACAGGACAGCGCGAATTTGGGAAAAACCTCGCAGAATGGAACTTTGAGCACGGACTGCTGCTCCATCGCGGAAAGGTTTATGTTCCCAAGAATCAACAGCTACGCCTTGACCTAATAAAACTCCATCATGACACCTTACCAGCCAGACACCCTGGCAGGTTCAAGACGTTGGAACTTATTACCTGGAATTATTGGTGGCCAGGAATGTCTGTAATGGTTAAACAATACGTACAAGGTTGCGACAGTTGTCAATGCAACAAGTACTCAAGAGAAAAACCATACGGACTACTACAACCCAATGAGGTATCAGGAGGATTATGGGAAATTGTCACAGTTGATCTCATCACTCAACTTCCTCCAGCCATGGACTTTAGGGGAGAAAAGAAGACGGCAATACTTGTCGTCGTAGACAGACTCACGAAGCGAGCACACTTTTATGCCACAGACGACACAGTCACATCGTCGCAAGTCACTAACGTATTCTATAACGAAGTCTTCAAACTCCATGGATTGCCGCGCCAGATTATCTCAGACAGAGGTACTCAATTTGCGAGCAAACTATTCCAGGAGTTCTGCCAGAAACTTGGTATAAAGTCTACAATGTCTACAGCATATCACCCCCAAATAGATGGTCAGACAGAAAGAGTTAATCAGGTGTTAGAACAGTACCTACGTATGTACTGTAACCACAGACAGAATGATTGGGTCTATTACCTGCCAACGGCAGAATTTTCATACAATAACCAGACCCATGAATCCACCGCACTTTCCCCATTCTTTGTCGAATATGGCCGACATCCAAAAATGGCACCAGACATACACAAATCAATACGTCATCCCTCATTGGAACATCTATTCGCCCACCGATCCGAGGCACAAGAACAGGCAAAGGCAGCATTGGAAGTTTCAGCTTCACGAATGAAATGGTACTTCGATGAGAAAAAGGGAGAAGTCCCATTCAAAGTCAGAGATCTAGTTTTACTCAAGGGAAAGGATCTCAGAGTAAAAGTCAAGTCCACGAAGCTAGGCACACAAAACTTCAGACCTTACAAAGTACTTCAGAAGCTAGGCCCAGTCACATTTAAACTGGAACTGCTTAAGCAAATGAAGGTCCACCCAGTCTTCCATGCTAGCAAGTTGATCATGTACCATCAAGACACGGTCACAAACCGTGAACCCCCAAAGCCTCCAGCCATAAAAATCGAAGGCGAACCAGAATTCGAAGTTGAGGAAATACTAGACTCGAAGGTTGTAAGGGGAAGGGTCCAATACCTCGTCAAATGGAAAGGCTATGACCATTCCGACGATACATGGGAACCCCGAACAAATCTTACCAACGCCGACGAGCTTCTTCAAGAATTCCACCAGCAACACCCAGATGCAGCCAAAGCACCAATCAGGGTCGTCACTTTTGGTGGAAAACACTTCGAATTATCCTCATATGAAGTTGCACCAATCTCTACACACCGAATCAACATGTCCGACCATCCAGACGGGTTCTTCCTATATCATAAGATGACAGATCTCACCAAATCACTGAAAAAATCCTCAAATGAAGCAGCAGGATGAGATCTTTATGCAGCAGAAATGCATGAAATCCCCCTGCATTCATGAGCTGTGGTAGGAACGGAAGTCGCAATTGAACCTCCCAAACATACCTATACATGAATAGCTCCACGCAGCAGACTGGCTGCACGAGGAATTGACGTAGGTGCAGGAGTCGTCGATCCAGATTACACTGGAGAACTCAAGGTCGTACTGATCAATACAACAGATTTCGTATTTTCGGTTAAACTGGGAGACAGGATAGCCCAAATAATCTTCGAATATTACGCCGAAGGGCTTCTCTCCTGAAGTTACCAACCGTTGCGAGCAACTAGAAGGGGAAATAAAGGTTTTGGCTCCTCGGGACAATGAGCCTTGAGAGGGGGGTAGTGTCACAGATTTTC